AACCCAGGGCCTCATGTATGCAAGACAAGCACTCTACCACTGAGCCACCTTCCCAGCTCCATCCATGAGACTCTTATCTCCAATTAACCACCAGAAAACCAGAAGTGGTACTATGGCTCAAGTGGTAGAGTGTTAGCCCTGAGCTCAAGAGCTGAGGGACAGTGCCCAGGCCCAGATTTCAAGCCCCAAGACCACCCCCCACTCCCCACCCCCCCAAAAAAAAGACTAAACAAGACCCAATTTTGAAAACCAAGCTGCAAGTGGTGTTTCAGATCTGGAATCCACCTACTTTGTGTAAAGATCAGGGTCCCGAGATATAACTTGGCAAAAGCTAAGATTCCTTCTCAAAAATAGCTAAAAGCAAAAAGGGTTAGCGGCATGGCTCAAGAGGTAGAGGACTTGCATAACAATTACAAAGTTGTGAGCACAAAACCCAGTTTTACCAATATGTGTATGTTCCTTTTTCAGGTGCTCACTTGCAATGTAATACAGATAAAACCACTCCCTTAAACAGGGAGCAGAAAATGAAACTGTTTCTTGAAATATACTCTCAAAATATCCAGTGGCTAAAGTTGATGTTACAGAGAACCCAGTCTAATTTCTAAAGTCATATAACTAAGCCAGGTGCTGATGGCTCACTCTTGTAATCCTAACTATTCAGGAGGATACAATGTAAGGATTGTGGTTCAAAGCCAGTCTGGACAAGAAAGTCCTGAGATTCTTTTTTTGTTGTTGTTGGTTGTAGGGCTTGAACTCTGGGCTTGGGCTCTGTCCTTGCGCTCTTCAGCTCAAGGCAAGCGCTATACCGCTTGAGCCTCAGTGCCACTTCTGGTTTTCTAGTGGTTTATTGGAGGTAAGAGTCTCACAGACTTTCCTGCCCAGGCTGGCTTTGAACTACAACCGTCAGATCTCCGCCTCATGAGCAGCTAGGATTACAGGTGTGAGCCACCAGAGCCTGGCCTGAGATTCTTATCTACAATTAATCACCCAGGAAGCTGGAAGTTGAGTTGTTGCTCTAATGGTAGAGTACTAACCTTGAACAAAAGATGCTGAGGAAGAGTGTCCAGTCTCTGAGTTCAAGCCCTAGGTCCAGCACACAAACACACAAAATAAAAATAATAAATTAAAATAAAGGCAGATAACCTTACCCAGTGAGATCAAGTTGCTATAGTTCTCCAACATCACATCTCTATACAAGTCCTTCTGTTCCAAGTCCAGGGATTCCCACTCTTCCTGAGAGAAGACTACAGATACATCATTGAACATCACGGCTCCCTGAGGTGACAAAAAGTATGTATTACTGAAATGAAAGAACATTTGTTCTATGATGGAAGGAGAAGGCCATGTACAGTGACTTAATCCTAGCTACTTGAGAAGTGGAAATCATGAAATGGGTGCTTGAAGCCAGCCTGGACATAACAAAGTTTATAAGGCCAGGCACTGGTGGCTCATGCCTATAATCATAGCTACTCAGGAGGCTGATATCTGAGTATCTGAGGATTGGGGTTCAAAGCCAGGCAAGAGAGAAAAGTCCCCAGGAGATTCTTTTTTTTTTTTTTGTCCGTCATGGAGCTTTGAACTCTGGGCTTGGGCGCTGTCCCTCAGCTCTTCAGCTCAAGGTGAGCACTCTACAGCTTGAGCCACAGAGCCACTTCTGGTTTTTGAGTGGTTTACTGGAGATGAGTCTTTTTTTGGGTGGGGGTGGGGGTTGGGGAGATCTGGTCATGGGGCCTGAGCTCTGGGCCTGGGCGCTGTCCATCAGCTCTTCAGCTCAAGGCTAGTGCTCTACCACTTGAGCTACAGCGCCACTTCCGACTTTTTTCTTTTTGCTTATGTGGTGCTGAGGAATCGAACCCAGGGCCTCAGGCATGCAAGGCAAGCGATCTACCACTGAGCCACCTTCCCAGCCCTGGAGAGGAGTCTCACAGACTTTCCTGCCCAGGCTGGCTTTGAACCGCGATTATCAGATCTCAGCCTCCTGATTGGCTAGGATTACAGGCATGAGCCACGGGCGACCAACTCCCATGAGACTCTTATCTCCAATTAACCACTCAAAAGGTGGAACTGGTACTGTGCCTCACAGTGGTAGAGCATGAGCTTTGTGCAAAAGAGCTCAGGGACAGCACCCAGGGCCTGAGTTCAAGCCCCATGACCAAAAAAAAAAAGAAGAAGAAGAAAGTTTATGAGACTCCATCTTAACCAATGGCTAGTCATGGAAGCACAAACCTGTTATCCCAGCTACAGAGGAGGAAGCACATTGGCCAAGTGCAGTGTTTTGTGCCTATACTTCCCAGCAACATAAGAAAGCAAAAATAGAAGGGTCATAGCCCAATCCAGCCAAGACCCTACTTCAAGAATAACCAAATGGGGGCTGGGAAGATGGCTCAGTGGTAGAGCGCTTGCCTTGCATGCCTGAGACCCTGGGTTCGATTCCTCAGCTCCACATAAGCAAAAAGAAAAAAGTCGGAAGTGGCGCTGTAGCTCAAGTGGTAGAGCGCTAGCCTTGAGCTGAAGAGCTGAGGACAGCGCCAAGGCCTAGAGTTCAGACGATTGGACCCTCCCCCCCAAAAAAAGAATAGCCAAATGCGGGGGCTGGGAAGGTGGCTCAGTGGTAGAGCGCCTGGTTGCATGCATGAGGCCCTGGGTTTGATTCCTCAGCACCACATAAGCAGAAGAAAAAAAAAGCTGGAAGTGGTGCTGTGGTTCAAGTGGTAGAGTGCTAGCCTTGGGCTGAAGAGCTGAGGGACAGAGCCCAAGCCCAGAGTTCAGGCCGCACAACTGGACCCCCCCCCAAAAAAAGTAAATAAAAATAAAAAAAAGAAAAGAATAACCAAATGGGGGCTGGGAAAGTATCTTAGTGGTAGAGTGTAGAGTGGTAAAGTATCTCAGTGGTAGAGTGGTAGAGTGCTTGCCTTGCATGCCCAAGGCCCTTGGTTTGATTCCTCAGCACCACATAAGCAGAAAAAGCCAGAAGGGGCACTAGCCTTGAGCTGAAGAGCTGAGGAACAGCGTCCAGGCCCAGGGTTCAGGCCCCATGACTGGAGTGGGGGGTAAGGGGGAGTGGGAAGAATAACCAAATGCAAAAAGGGTCTGAGGGTGTAAATTGAGTGGGAGAGCACCTATCTAGCAAGCATGAGCCCTGAGTTTCATCCTCAGTACCACTTACAACCCCTACAAAAATGATGGAAAAGATAAACATGAAAGAGATACTGTAAGAAATGGAGCACTGCAGAAATCAAACAGGCATGAGTGGGCAGGCCATGACAGAGTAAGTTAGGAAATGAATGTGCTTAAAGCAAAGTACCTATCTATTCCTGAAGGATTCTGTTGCTACAGTCTCTACTGTTCTACCTCAATAATACATATATGGCTAGGAAATTAAAAGAATCAAACCAGGCAGTGGAAGACATCTGAAATCTCAGTACTTTGGGGACCCAGGCAAGAAAACTGAAAGTTCAAGATTATCTTGAGAAAGCTGAAACATATTTTGTCAGTGAGGGATGGCAAAGTTTGTGGGGGGGAAGGGAGAGAGGGAATAAAAGTAGAGAGGAAGGGTGGGCAAATACAGTCAAATAGTCATTATATTCAATATATACAAATGAATATGAAACCAGGAAACTTGAAGGGAGTGATGGGGTTGAGAGAGATGAGAGAATGATAGAAGAGGTGACACTCATCAAGAGGTATTATACTTATATGCTGATATGCTGAATTCCTGTGGTGCTGTGGCTGAAAGTAGTAGAGTCCTCACTTTAAGTGAAAAAGCTCAGGGACAGTGCCCAGGTCCTGAATACAAACCCCACAACCAACCCAAAATAAAAAAATCTAAGTTTATTGTAGAAGCACATCATATGTGATTTTTTTTTTTGTTATGACTGACTTTTGGTTTGTTTTTATTTGCTTATGGTGTTGAAGATCAAACCTAGACCTTGTGTATGTTAGGCAAGTACTCTGTCACTGACATTTATTTCTAGCCTGACAGATTGTTTAATGAATCCTTTTTTTATTTTTTATTTTATTTTTTTTGTCGGTCGTGGGGCTTGAACTCTGGGCCTGGGCGCTGTCCCTCAGCTCTTCAGCTCAAGGCGAGTGCTCTACCACTTGAGCTACAGCGCCACTTCCAGTTTTCTGGTGGTTTATTGGAGATAGGAGTCTCACGGTCTTTCCTGCCCGGGCTGGCTTTGAACCTCGATCCTCAGATCTCAGCCTCCTGAGTAGCTAGGATTACAGGCATGAGCCACCAGTGCCCGGCTTGAATCCTTTTTTAAAAACTGATTGTAAACTAGTCTGGATATCCAAGACTTAATCATTCTTGCATACTTACATATCTGGTTCAACAAAATTTTTGTTTGCTTTTGTTTTGCTGGTCCTGGGGCTTCAACTCAGGGCCTGGGCTCTGTCCCTGAGCCTCTCTGTGCCCAAGGCTAGCGCTCTACCACTTAAGCCACAGCACCATTTCTGGCTCTTTCTGTTTATGTGGCACTGAGGAATCAAACCCAGGGCTTCATGCATGCTAGGCAAGCACTCTACCACTAAGCCACATTCCAGCCTTCAAAAAAAAATCATAAGAACACCCATAATTCTGAGTCTGATTACTTATATATCTAGGTAATCTTACTAGCTCCCATAAAGTAGACAATATATCATTCCAGACCAACACAAGGAACACTTCCTTGGGTGCAATGATTAGAGCTTTCCAGAGAAGATCAGATCTCTATATATGTAAGACTTAGCCACATTTCTTCCCAGCCTATAAATCCTTACAAACCATGAGACACTATTAACTGAAGCTGAGGCCAGCTAATAGCAAATTTTGTCTTATATAATTGAAAAACTCAAATGTAGAAAAGTTAATTTGTCCTTTGAGTGACTAATAGGGCCCATCCTTATCAGCAGAGAAAAGATGGTCCAATATCTCTCCTTTAAGCAATTTCATTTATGTTCTAATGCAGCTTTTTGGCAAATACAAAAGATGCTGATTTGTTCAATAGGTAAACAATGCTGGAAAAGAGTAAGACAATGACTTGATTAGTTAGCTCCATCCATCACTGGATTTGAAATGACCGGGAGGTTTTTGAAGGGAATCTAATACACAAGAAGTTTCAGGACAAAGAATTGTCCATGGGATCTTAACATGACATAATTTGTAACAGAAGATATTAATAGTAACTTACCTGGGCCATGGTTTAGGAATTTAATAATGTGTCAGTCTTATTTGCCAGAAGCAGAAAGTCCACAAAGGCTGAAGCTAGAAGAAAACAAGTCCATAAGAGACAGACTTAAGATTTTCTCAAATGATGCCAATTGTTTCCCCGTTGATCTCTTACACACTTACACACACACACACACACACACACCACAGAGTTTAGATAAATCTAATCCTCTAAATCATCTAAACCCCAGAGTCTCCTTTAAAGTCTTGAAAGCCTGCTTGGATTCACCAGACATAAAGAGAAAAATTTGGCAGGCTCTGATTAAGAATTCTATTAGGGTTGGGGAGGCTGTTTGGAATCCCAGCAGAGGGGAGTGTGAGGCAGGATGAGGTCAGTTGGGGCTGGGGCTACAAAACCAGAACACACATGAAAAAAAATAAAGACAAACGAAAACAAGTGACTTAGAATACAAGAGCATGAGTCTCGTGCTTTGATTTGGCTTCTTAAAAAACAATTCCCTTCACAAGTAGCTCTTTTTTTTTTTTTGGGTCCGGTCGTGGGGCCTGAACTCTGGGCCTGGGCACTGTCCCTCAGATCTTCAGCTCAAGGCTAGTGCTCTACCACTTGAGCCACAGCACCACTTCCGGCTTTTTTCTTTTTGCTTATGTGATGCTCAGGAATCGAACCCAGGGCCTCAGGCATGCAAGACAAGCGCTCTACCACTGAGCAACCTTCCCAGCCCACAAGTAGCTCTTTTTGAGTATGGGGCAGAGTGAGAGATGGTAGGAAGTGCTGCAATACTAGGGCTTGACCTCAGGGGTCTGTCCCTGCCTTTTTGCTCAAGTCTAGTCTTCTATCCCATGAGCCAAAACTCCACTTCTGGCTTTTAGCTGGTCAATTGGAGATGAGGGCTGGGAAGGTGGCTCAGTGGTAGAGTGCTTGCCTTGCATGCATGAGGCCCTGAGTTCGATTCCTCAGCACCACATAAGCAGAAAAGCCAGAAGTGGCGCTATAGCTCAAGCGGTAGAGTGCTAGCCTTGAGCTGAAGAGCTGAGGGACAGCGCCCAGGCCCAGAGTTCAGGCCCCATGACCGACAAAAGAAAAAAAAGGAGATAAAAGTCTTATGGATTTTCCTGCTCAGGCTGGCTTCGAACTGTGGATGCTCCGATTGCAGCCTCCTGAGTAGCTGGGATTACAGGGGTGAGCCGACACCCGACTCCAGGCTTAACGTTCCGACCCCACAGTGGGGGCTGAACCTCTTTGCCGGGAGTCATTTCCAGGGCGCTCAAGTGATCACCGGGGCTTTTCCTCAAACTGCAGGCGACACAGAAGACTGGCCTATGGCCGAGGCCACAACGGCTTTTGTCCGACGCGTTATGACGTCACACGCAGGCCAGCCACGCCCACCGGCGCGCGCACTTCAACCAACCGCCCCTCTCATACCAGCGGACCTGGGGCACGAGCGGGCCCCGACAATTTCCCGGTGTGCAGTGTCTCCCCTCTCTCCTTACCCCGCCGCGTTTGCTATGGGGTCGCCAGGGCTGTTTCGCTCGTAGAGCCGAGCCTGTCTCTAGGCGACGCGCAGTTGCAGCGGAGGCTCCACAGCGGGAACGGCTCGTAGATCCGGGTCTAACGTACAGAACCGCACGCGGGGGTTGCCGGGAGGGCCAGTGGGGCGCACTGATTGCGCAGGCGCTGGGACCACTCAGGGGGCGGGGCGGGGCTGCGCTTCTCAAGGGTGGAAGCTGAGGAGATGGTCCCGCCCTGGTGACCCTGGCAAACTGATCCTGTCCCTGCCGTCCGTGCAGGAGCAGAGGAGACAGTGCTCCGGGGAGCCAGCTGGGTTCTTTGGCTTGTGATTGGAATTGTGTGTGAGAGAGGGAACCTCACTGTGAACCTTCTCTGTCTCATTGGCTAGACAACTCTCCACTCTTCCCTCTCCCTCCTCAGCAGAGATGATGGATGGTGGTGTGGGCAACTTTCTCAATTCTGAAAGACAAATGTCAGAAATGGTGCCCATGGCTCGCTCGCTCTCTCTCTCCTTGGCTAGCTCTCTGTCTCTGCATGTCTCTCTTGTGGCTCTACCACAGTCAGGAGCTGGTGAATCAGGCCTGTAATTTTGGCAGAAGGCTGAAATCTGAGGATTCATAGTTCAAAGCTAGCTTAGGGCAGGAGTCTGTGAGACTTATCTCCAATTAACCAGCCAAAAGCTGAGGGTGGACCTGTGGCTCAAGTGGTAGAGTGCCAGCCTTGAGTGAAAATGCCAAGGGATAGTGCCCAGGCCAGCCTGGACTGACGGGCATGCATGGGCACGGGTGCACACACCCCAGAAACCTCTACTATAACACTAGCCTCCAGTCTAAGGTTTTGCTAGATTTATTTTCCTTGGTTAATCAGTGTGTATCTTTGAAATATGTGACTGTATTTCTAATTTGTTCCTACAGGCTGTGACTATCTGGATGTTTTTATATGAGCCTTTTTTTTTTTCCTGGGGGGGGTCCAGTCGTGGGGCCTGAACTTTGGGCCTGGGCACTGTCCCTCAGCTCTTCAGCTCAAGGCTAGCACTCTACCATTTGAGCCACAGTGCCACTTCTGGCTTTTTTTTTCTTTCTGTT